TTCTCGCCTTTCTCCCCAGCCACTGGAGATGTTCCATCTCCAGAGTTAATGGACACCTTGTCCTTAGCTCAATTCAGGCCCACACCTAATATAAAGAGTGGATTACAGCACTGAGGAATGACAAGAGCATACACTGGACAGTTTGTTTATCTTTTTAAGTCTAGTTTTTTAAGGTCTTCCTCCTGCTGGCTCAAGCAGGGCCACCTGGAGCTGGCTGCCCAGAACTGTGCCCAGATGGCTTTTGAATATTTCCAAGGATGGAGATGCTATATCTCAAGAACGAAGACAAACAGTTCACAACTTTTCAGAAAGGGCCTATGATTATGTCTCACCAATTTTAGACACAAACAAAAATGCCTGCAGTCCACCTCAACATCCCCTCACCTTCCAAAAATTGAGAGTGAATCTGCCTTCTAGTGGACCTAGGAGCAGGAAAGAATAAATCATTTCAAGGTGGAGATTGCTTTATTTCTGGGAACAAATTGTGATGTGTTTGTCTGTGCAAGCAGAGAATCCCTTTTAGAAACTCATGCAGTGCTAAGATGTGCCCAGAGGCACTTCCCACTTTGGGAAATATTGACTTAATTGCCTCAGACCCTTCTGTGACACATATAGAGATTTAAAATACTATTCTGTCCCACAGAGGGCCCAAATTAACAACTTCAGGGTCAGCAAGGGGATGCATTGTGCTTTCTTCAACCAGCCAGCACCAGCTGGGAAAAAAACAGACAAACCTCAGGATCTGAACACTAGCTGTATTTCCTAAGGTTTATCCAGTTTTTCCACATATATCTGTTTCTCTGATACAGTCAATGTAAGTAGTAAGTACTTTCACTAGCAAGCAATAATTCTGGCTACAAACCTGACCTCATCTATGTGTTCAAAACATCATAGTTACGCACACAGAGCTGGTATTGATTTTTCTTTTTCCTTCTGGCACAAAACCAGATGGAGATGGTGAACCAGAGGACAGTCCCCCTGCAATAACAAAACACTTAATGATCACTTCTGACCTCCTGGCTGTTTCCCTCCTCTTTTATTCTGATGGGAGTCGCTGCACCAGGTGCCTCAGCCTTGCACAGAAATCTTTAATTTCTTTTAAGTTACCTGGAGAAGCTTAAAGTTTCAGTCTGACCAAAACCACCACTCTGAACTGAACTCCTGACAGTGTCAAGCAGCTCTAAAAAAACACAATAAGCGTTGTTTGAGAAACCCTGTGTTTCTTCACTATATTTCCTGTATTTGCTCTTCGTTTCTGAAGGGTTCCTGAGTGAGCAGCTCAGGGCAAGAGAAGAGGAGAGGAGAAGGATCACTGGAAAAAAATAGTATTTCTCCTGTTTGCTCAAGTAAAAGGAGTATTTTCCAGTGGGTACTGCTTTTAGCTCCTAATTCACCTGCACTCTGAGCATGTACTTGGACAAATCCCAGTGTCAAAACACAGGGATGAGAAATGCCTTTCAGCCACAACCAGAAAGAAGTGTTGCATGAAATCAGCAAAATGAAAGCACAAACCTCTAATTATTTTAATATTGGATTGTGACAGTGTTGTTCTCTGTTGGGAGCACAAACAACCCTTGGCCACAGGTCATGGTTCATTGCTATTTTAGAAAACATTGGGATTGGCACAGTGTTGTCCCTGGACAAACCACTCAGGTAATTAAATAAAATGAGCTTTGTGATAAATCAGATGAACATATACACACACAAGCAAGCAGTGGATGGGCAGAACTCACAGGGTGTTTTCTCATGACCATTCCTTCTCACACCAGAAGGCGTAGAGGGTTCTCTGTGCAACCTTAGGGTGCCCTGGGCTCATGGAGTCACTGATAACCCTGCGGTTTGTTCCCAAAGGGCTGTGCCTTGACAGTGACTCTAGTGTCCCCAGAGGCAATGATGTGTGTGCTACCACTGAAAGGGGAAATCTGTGCTTAGCAGGATGTCATCTCAGGGAGCAGAAAGAGTCTAAGTATGCAGGAAAGGGGGTTATGCATAAAAGGAGAGACAAGTGAAAAGATAGAAAGGGAAAAAAACCAAACAAACAAAAAAGAGGTAAAACAGAAGAGAAAGAAAGATCCATCTCTGGGATATTTAAGCTGTTGTTGTGAAGTGCATGTCCAGCAAATGCTGTGTCTTAGGACCACCAGTGCATGATGGTACCATGCAGTGAATATACTCCCAAAGAGTGAGGAGAGCCTATTTCAAGCTTTGTCCAGACTAACTTCCATTCCACCTCTTCAGATTCATATATATTCTTAATATAAGTACCATAACTTGTACCACTCAATTATTAAATATTATATTTTTCTGCCTATCTCTGAACTGATTCAATTTGAGCTTTTTTTGCATTGAGCTGCTCCTCAGCTTCCCTGATGATCTTGCCATGTAATCAGCTCTTTGTTGCCTGGGTCACATGGGTCTTGGATACTCCAGATAAAAGAAAACCTGAATAATGTTCGTAGTGCCGTTTCCATCTTACTGTTTCTACCTTAACAGAGCATCTGCATTCTCCTGGATACAGGCAGGCCTGTTAACCTGGGTACCTGCTGCAAGAGCAGCAGGGGCCGCTGGGGCTCTGGCCCAGGTGACCTGCAGTGCCCAAACTCATGAACATTCGCAGAGCCAGCTCTTCTTGGAAAAAGCCTCTTAAGGGCAGTTTTTTTCCTGATTCTTCCTCAGAAAAATCAACTGCCTTTTCCCTCAGTTGAAGGGAACATAAACAGCAAAGTGTCATAGGAAGCAACAGCAAGAGATAATTTGTGTCACGGTGTCCAAGCATAATAAATTAAATGGAGTGGATTGTCACTGTGTACTTGGAGTAAAGCTCTGACTTCAGAGAAGTCACGTAAGATGAGAACAGACGGGAACAAAGCTGCCTGGTTCCTTTTTCCACAGTGTATCAACAACAAAAAGGGCATTTTTCCTTAGTGCACAGCAGCTGCACTCCAAATGGGGCAGATCTATTAATAGAGTAAGTGGGCAGTCAGATATGCCCTTCAAAAACCTGCACAGGGCTATAATTCTTCAGTTTCTAGCTCTCACATTTTACCACCCAGGGAAATGGTGGGGCTGGAATGGTTTTCATTTCTAGTACAACAAACAGGATTTTTCACATATTTACAGTTCCTCTCTCAGTACCCATGCTACTACATGTAATCGGAAAATTAATAAAGAGTTTATGGCTAAAAGGGTAGAAATAAAAGGAGGACCAGAGCTGCTCTACAGTAAGTCAATATAATCAGGAGGCATTGATCAGCGGAACACAAAATGCTTTCATTGCCTTTAAAAGTCAATACTGCAGGGGGAAAAATAGATGTACAAAATCGTATACATCCAGCTTAGCCACTAAACGCTTCACAGAGAAAGTTCAGTGTTTCTAGGTGTTTTAGGGCTTGCTTTCTTTCATTTCTTTTGGATGAGTCTATCACTTCAGAGAAACCGGTAGGAATCAGGCTGTCTGGTGTTAATACATATTTTTATTATGTTCTTCTTTTTGACATTCCTTCCGTACCTCACAATAAGCAGTATTTAGTTCATCATCAACTGAATATGGATATTTCTCAATAATCAGAAAATCTAAATATATTCTTGAAGCAGCAAGAGAATTGTGTTTAATATATCTTACTGGTATTTCATTTTTTCTGTAGTGGCTACAAGCACTCATTTTTGGTTAAGCCCCTGAGTGCAAAATGTTGAACATACATAGATAAAAACACCAAATTTGCCCCAAACAGTTTAAAATCTACATAGTAGATAGAAGCTTTGGAAAGTAGTCCTCATATATGCGATTCATCTGACCACAGATTCTGACATCTAGATCTGAACAAGTGGTAAGATCAATTCACCATTAATGATTTATTGTAGCCCTACTCCTAAAAGAGATCTCATGATTCCTTTCCTTGGAAATGTCTGTTTCTCTCAGAGTAAATGCAGCTTAGGGTGACGGCTACCTCATGGACACTCAAAGTCACATAAGATGAATTCCACCATAGAAGAATCTTTCATAGAGGATTTAGAGGATGAAGGTGAGAGAAGGCAGAGTAGAGAGTGAAATTTTTTGCATCTTTGCTTTCACTTGCATGTCCCTTTCATAAATGTTTTTGTGATCAAGTCATCCTTCCATTGGAACATTGAGAACAAAGCAATAGGAGGGCCCTGTCAGAGAGTGGATGTTTTCAGTGGAAGAGAGGGATCTGAGCATATTCCCAGCATGATTGGGCCAAATATGACCTACTGAGTAACATAAATGTTTACATGTTTTAGCATTTGGATGTATTTTAGTCATTATTATTATCATCACATTTTCTACAAAAGAAACTCCCTTTTTCCCAGGTATGAGTCTTCTCCCAGTTTATTTTTAATGGTTTTTAAGACTTTATTGTGTTTTACATTTCTTGTCCCATGTCTAGTGTCTCTTTTACCTTTTTTCTTCTGCCAAAGCAAAATTTGGTTTCCCTTCTGTATTCCCACTCTCTCCTCCTTGGAATAGTGTGCTTTTTTTGTTTGCTTGCTTCCTCCTTTGGTTACATCTCTCCCTTCTCTCCAACCTTTCCGTCCTTCTTCCTACTTTTTCTCCTGGCTTGCTGTGAATTTTCTTTCTTTCCCTTCCCATCTCCACTCTCCTCATCTAGCTCTCCCAGCAGTATCCTTTGGAGCACAGCCAGTACTGAATTTTAACAGCCACAACCTGTCGTGCAGAAGACAACAACAACACAGCAATGGCCAGGCTTTGCTGGGCCACCACAGCATGCTTCAATCACATTTTCTGCCAAGCACCCATTGTTCCTCTGCTATCTCCTGCTTTTTCTCCTCTGCCAAACTGCACATGGTTGAAACGGTTGCAGCTGTAAAAAGGTCTCCACTGCTGCGATCTGCGTGTCCCCAGGGGCCGAGGCATTGACCACTGGAACACTGCCCTTAAAATAATCAATAACCCCGGGTGACATGCCAACCTCGCGCTGGCCAACCAGGGATAACTTGGGGTATTTCCTCATTCTCCAAAGAGAAACAGCTGTTTGTTTAATAGAGGCCGTCACCCAAAAACATCGCTGAGCCTCCCTCAGACCGCCACACTCCAGGAGAGAGGAGCTGGAAAGCCTGAAGCCAGCTGAGGGGGAACTCTGGAGCCTGGAGGCCATCTTAGCCCTGTCTAGAAGGTAACCAAAAGCATTTACAGTGCTTTCCTTAGCATTAAAAAGCAAAACTTTCTAAAATCCTCATTAACAATTAGAAGCTTGCTCTAGCCACCTTGCTTAACGAAGCTGTAGAATGTGCTTTTGTTTGGTGAATTAATAATGTGTTTTAAGTGCTTCTGGCAATCCAGAGTGTTTTCCTAAACCATAATAACACAGTCAGATCCTCTGATGTGCGCAGGTAGCAAAGCGGCCTTGATTTTGGTGGCAGAGGCTCTCACTACACTTAGTGATTATTTAGGTAAGTTCTCCCTGCAGTTTGAAGTGGTATTGAGATAGGTCAGAGAGAACAGGCTGTTACCCTCTGTTCTTCCAGCCTAAGCAGCATCGTATTGCTTTGCGCTGGATGAGAATTGGGCCCTCCAGTGTTGTACGAAAGGTGCAGAAGAAGATTTATAACTCAACTACAAGATTTAGCTTTTGTAGGAGTCCAGGCAGTGCCTGTGCTTGTTTGCTTCTCTCTGGGCAGGGGAAGTAGGTGAGGTTCGGTAAACACACGGAAAAGCTAAAGTTGGAATGACATGGGAAAGCAGACAGGCAAAAGTCAGCGTAGAAAATAACATACACATTGGTTATTTCAAAGACAGGTGAAATATCCAATATTTTTTCCATGTCCCTTCACTCCTTCCCCACTTCATCTTTCACTTGCACATTGTTTTTTTCTGGTTAGATTTTTATCTCTTTGAGCTGGGGCTTTTTCCAGAGGCTTGCAAAATGCCTTGCCAAATTTTGAGCACTATATAAACAATAGGTAACAATCATAAACAAAGAAGTATCTCTGTTAAAAATCTTCCCATCTGGAACAGTGTAATTCCAGTTAACTTGCTTTAAAGCTGGATTAAAAAGTACAACATGATTGCAAAGTGCTCAGAAGAAAAGGCAGGGAAGCACAATTCTCTTATTGAAGTCACAGCGGCAGAGAATGATGCAAATTTTTTGCTACAGAAATGCAAACTGAGAAGTCTCTGGCAATCACAGCTACCTCACAGCAATATATGGCACCCAATAAAGTCTTTCTGTTTTCCCTCCCAGTTGCACAGGTCTGAGGACATTGTCTGTCCTCATGCCTTACCTTACCTCTTCACTGTCTTCATTCTGTCAGCAAAGTCTGTTTCAGCCCATCTCTGTCTTTCTCAAATATCTTCATATTACTTTTCACCCGTGCCTTTTTTTGCTTGGGAACCCAAACTTGATTAATTTCTGTGCTCCTAGCCTGCTTAAAACCTTCTCAACATCAACCTTTGTCATAGAACTTTAAGGATTAGCCAATGTCTATGACCAAATTGAGGGACATTTCACTTTTTACCGCCTCAGTTACCACAACAACTATTTGCACGTAGCAAGCATAGGCATCTGTGTGTGTTTGGCTACAGGTGTGGGTACTGCAATGGAGTCTGACCAGATCCTTTTCCTTCTCTTGCATTTGGTAACTTGATCACAGGAGAGCAAAGCCCTCTTTGTCATAAACTGTCAGTTGTCTCTGAGGAAAGAAACCCATGGATTGATATTTTGTACTTTCATGCATATTTTATACCTTTATGCATTTGAAAGGCTTGAGCTGAAGTGAAGCTATGATAAAACATCATGAAGAACTTGTGATCCATTTGTGTCATAAAGTTCATGGCAGTGTGAAAGTCCAATAATCTCTGCCTCAGCGGTTTGAAATTTCCAAACCGACATGGAGAAATATCTGTGTACTGATCAGCCTTTTCTCCTTGGCTATAGATCACAACATGGGTGCAGAATGAGCTGAGATTGTAGACTTTGTTAAGAAGGATCTAATAGCAGCCTATAACAAACTTGGGGGTGACAGAGGTGGTGGAGTGGTGGGAGAGGATGTAATGAGGAGCAAAAGCTCTATTTACAGCCTGGGACATTCAGGTTGGACGTGGGAAAACATTTTTCACCGAGAGGGTGGGTCAGCCCGGCAACAGGTCACCCAGAGAGGTGGTTGTAGCTCCATCCTTGTGGGTTTTCAAAACTCAGCTACATAAAGCCATGGCTGACACAGTGACCTAGTGTTGTTGATAGTCCTGCTTTCAGCAGGAGGTTGGACTGGAGACCTGCAGAGATCTCTTTCAAGTAGTGCTTCATTTATTTTAAATATTTAAAATAAGAACCTGAATGCTGTGAAATACTAGGCAGCTGTCTTAAATGTTATGGCAGATCCCTGAAAATGAGGCAGGATGGCTTTTTGACCTGTCCTTAGCAAACAGCCACAAGATTAAACAGACTTATAGTTTTTCAGGTATTTTTGGGTGGATGCCAAACAAGCCCACAACCCACAGTCTTATCTACCCTTATCTGCAGAATAAGCATGTCACAGAAAACAGTAACGAACATTTCACCAATTCTTGCTGACAGTGTATTTTTGACTGAAATAGTGGAATTGCAGCTAGTAGGGGCCCCAGTGAGGCTTCCCCATTTTCCAAAGCACCGAGGCAGGGTTGTACATTCCTATTGCACTCTTGGTAGCCATTTCCTGCTCCTCTAGACCTTCAATACAAGAAATTTCAAATTAGCTTCCCAAAACAGTGGTCCCAGACAACCTGGTGCATCCATCTCCCCTTCCACTCAAGGCCTTAGCCCCACCATGAAGACTGCCAGCCAGGGTATCTGTTTGTGTGATCATGGGTTAGTTACTTATGTTCCCAATGGATAGACAATTGTCCATTAACAATTAAAATGAAATTCTCTGTAATTTCATAGCAACACAGGTTTAGTTCTATAATTTTAAATAAATCCAATTAAACATTCCAGTTCTGAGTAATTCAATTTTAAATAAAGTCACCGAAGGGAATGGAGTCTGTAGAATAGGATTATCTGTGTAAGTCTTACCTGGAACATTTCTTTCTTCAAAACTGATTCTTCTTTCGTTAAAGAAGAAAACTGCTGAAATCCCATGTTACCTGTGCTGGAGTAACCCAAACCTCCCTGTGTCTTTCCTGAGCAGAGAGCTGCCATGTGCACAGGAAAGTGTTCGAAGTGCATTGGGATCACCCTGTTCCCACTGGCGACATGTGCCATTGTCTCCAACATTCTCCTGTACTTCCCCAATGGACGAGTTCTGCAGCTCAGCGAGATAACCGATCTGGTCTGGTATTTCCATGGCATTCTGGGAGCTGGGATACTGGTAAGAGAGGTGTTTTTAATGTTTCTTAGGGGGTTTGTTCTGTTTTCTTTTAAATTTGGGGCCAAGAAACCTCCGTTAACAGAAAAAGTCATAGAAATGTGTTTCGCATACACTTAACGAACAGCTTAACTGGGAAGCTGGGTAACATGACTGAGAAAATGCATTTAGGACAAAAAAGTAGCTAAGTATTCCTGAAATACATAGCAGTACTCCAAGATGGAAGGAAGCACTAAGACTGACTGCTCACTGTGAGGAGGTTTACATGGGTGTTCATCCTCCCTGAGTCAAAGCAAAGCTGAGGTCCTAAGTTTAGCTGGAGGTCACTATTGTCTGCACCATCCTATTATTCCTCTAACTGATTTTATGCACACATAAATCTCAAAAACATTAAGGGCAAAACTGAAATATGTTTCAGTAGGTGTTAGTTCAAAACCCAGCTAACATTCCACAACTGTAGAGCTGCAAATGCCTTAAACCCTGAACACCTCATGTTCCCACACTCCCACCTACATCCTTTTGGGTTTGATCTGGTTTGAATGTGCTCTTCTATAACTAATTCTCCATTCCAGGTCTCATGAAAGAATGCTTTTATATGAATACACATAGCTGGAAGGGAACTTGTTAGGGAATACTTATCTTTCCAGTTCATCAGAAAACATGTTCCCTTTGTGTTCTTCCAATTATCTACCCAAGTGCAGTTAAAAAGCTGAGAATACCGTACATATGACCGGTATACTGGCTGCTATGCAGCCTAGGCAGATGGTAAACTGGCACAGAGCTAACTACCTGTATGCCAAAAAAACCCCCAAACAAGAACGTTCAAGAAAAATTAACTTAGAAAAAAAGCAAATCTCCTTCACAGTCAGGCTATGATGTGGCTGCCACTTAAGTGTATGGAAAACCTGCAGTGGATGTGGTTCAGACTCATATATCCCAAAGCAGAGACATGGTATAAGATCATTCAATAAACTGTTCTCCACCAGCAGCTTGCCTGCATCTTCTTCCAGCTACCGCTTGGGCCTATTACTCATGCTGAGCTTGAACATAAGCATGAGTCTGGAAAAGGAAGACGTGGAACTACATGAGAGACCTGTGGAAAACTGGTATCACTGCAAGCCCAGGAGTCATTGGCGTTCAATGAAAGAAAAGGCAGATGTTAGACATGAGAACATCACTGGCTCATTGAAAATGAGCCCTCTTTTAAGGCTTCCACACAGACTTGCCTGTGGCCAGCACCACATACATCAAAAATGAGAACAGCAAGCAAGAGGAGAGGAAAAATTTATACTGACCTTCAAAACACAGCATTAGGAGTAATTATTGATCCACAAGCAATGCTGTTGGGTGTACAGGTTTTCCAGAAAACAGTATAAGAAATGCCTGAAGAGAAGGGTAAAGAAAGCATTATTATGAGCTCTGTTTTCTAGGTGCTGGAAGCATGGAAAAATGAGGATTGACTTCTGGGCCTCATAATGAGTTAAACAAGGGGAAGAATGTCCCATGACTGGAGTCTGGTCCACATCCTGACTCTACAGTAGGGAAAGATGAGGCTGAAATACCCCATGCACCTCTCAGTTTCCTTAATTCAAATATTTAGGGTGTTAGAGAGGCTCTATGTGTCATTGTAACATTTTTCCTCAGGGAAAGCCTACACTGGGACATGCCTGACTGAGCCATGGCTCATGCACAGTTCTTGTTTTACTGACAACAGCCAAATCTAACAAATTCTCATTCCCATGTCAAAAGACCAGTGTTTATAATCAGGCATTGCATAAAAAGAAAACTGCCAAGCAAACCCTTTAACCTGAGCCAGGCTAATAGATGACACAAAGGTGTTTGCAGCTTAGATGTAAAACCTCGAAAGAAAGACAACCCTGGAGGAAAGGGAGTGTTGGCTTGATGGGCAGAGGTATTAACTCTTCTTCTGAGTGCCAGAGAGTAGCACACTGGGGCTGATGCTGCCTTGGGGACCACTTGTGATTATTTATGAGCTGACTTCTTTCCAGGAAGAGGAACACCTTTTTAACCTCAATGCTCTACTTCTTCAGGCTTCCAGCTGTGGTCCAGCCACTGCTGCAGGTGCTGTAGGTTGCCTCTGAGGTGTACATAAAAAGCAGCTGAGAATAAATCTTTTGAAAAATATTTAGGGGCCTGCAAATCTAAGCAGGTTTGATAACACTGTTCTACACAGTCCGACAGAGATATTCATACTACACATATAGATTACCCTGGCTTCATTCATCATGGACATTCTGTTTTTCCTACCCTACATGAGAAAATATCTCTCCAACATATAGTCAGGTTATTTTTACAGTTTTTACCTTTCATGTTAGTTTATTTGGGGTTCTCATTATTTCATTAACTTCATGGGGACCATTTCCTACTTTCTAAAGTACTCATTTTCTTGTGCTGCTCTTTGAGATGGCTTAACAAGGATTTGTGGGCAGAGACAAGGCAGCAGGAGTACGCTGGCTGCACAGCTAGAACCACAAAAGATTTCTTTCCCTACGGCTACCCAAGTAAAGGCAACTTTTCCTATCTCCAGAAAGCCTCTGTAAGGTGGCATTATATCTTGAGCCACAGATAGTTACTGCCTTCCTTATATAGGTCGGACTCCACCTGATAATTATCATAAAGAAAGGTGATGTGAACTGAAGTTCCCTCCTGAGTGAAGTTCATTTTGTAGGTTTCCCAGAAGCTTAGGAAAAAAACCCAACTAACCAACCAACCAACCAAACAAAAAACCACAAAAAAACCTCACACCAAAACAAAACAAAAAACCACAACCTAATAAAAAACCAAAACCCAAAACAAAGCCAAACAAAAAACCAAACCAAACCAAACAAACAGAAAAAGTCAGATCTGCTTCAGAAAGAACAAGGCTGCTTTCCCAATTATAATAGAGAGCAAAATGCTCAGGAGGTTTAAAGTGACATATTTCTTAGTCCAGTTATACATCTTTTCTGGACAGAAATTCTGTTTTCTCAAAACTGACACATTTTTTCCCTAAAAAAACCTACCAATACCCTGCTGAAAAGAAGCAGTATAGCTTCAGCAACCAGAATTAATGTACCAGCTATTTGCCAGACAGCTGTAATCCCGTGCTTATTTCTAAATAACTCTTCAGCAGCATCAACATCTAAGCAGGTGTAACTCACAGAGAAGAGACATAATGTGGTTTGCATTTGAGGAACATGATGGCCCAGCTCTCAGAATTTAAAAACCATCCCAGCAGAAGTGCTGCACACCAATTCAGTTTGTACTTTCCTCACAGGTTATTTTGCCGGCATTCATGATGCTGGGAGCAGGAGGAGCAGGATGTTGCGCTAACAGATGTGGGGTAAGTGGATATTTATGTGTTGAAATGGCACTGCAGAGTTTGCACAATAGCTCCTAAATGGCAGCTCAGCAGGTGGAAATGTGCAGTGACAAACCATCACACCACCATCAACAGCCATGTCAGGGAAACACAGAAGAGGAGCTTGATCTACAGCGTCCCCAGGCTGGGGCTGAGAGCTCAGTGAGCCAACAAGAATGTTACGATATTGCAGCTGCTGATGTAAGGGAAATCAGCCAGGGCTGATGTTGGAGCACTAAGACACAAAGCTGAGGGCAGAGGGGTACTACATCACATAAAGTAAAACATGGCTTCAGCTTCCCCTGCTCAAGGCAATACCAAAGACTGAGACAGCTGCCTGTCCCTTCTGCTTCCACCAGGCCCTGTTTCCTAAATACCCTTCCATGGCAAATTGTTTTTCCACAGGTTCATTCCTGCTTTCCTCTGTAGGGGTAGACAGGTCCCCTATTTGCAGGTCCACGCTAAAAGCCTGAGCTGCTGCATCTGGCCCTAAGGAGCCCACACTGCTCCCCATAGTTTCAACTAGTAGCCTGCATTTGCCCAAATCTCATGCACATGAAACATGTAAATGCAATTTAGGCTCTCTGTCACATAAAGAAAGGTCCGAAAGACTTTTTTCCTTGATAATTAAGAATATTATAAAGCAACACATTATACAGACATCTCCATTATTTCTCAAGCCCTGAGCACAGACTTCTGTGTGGCTATTATGATTGGCAAGAATAAACTGACTTAGAAATATTTTTTTAGTCTGCGTGAAGGAGAAGTCTGGAATGAGAGATTCCATACAATAAAGTGTGTCTCTTCTGTAATCTTCAACTGATATTTAGTCTGATCCATGAGAAGATCTTTACCTCTTTAAGATGCTTTAAGTTGATTCATTATTCATAATAAAAAATAGCACTTTTCATTAGGATGTAAGCAAGTGCATCTCAAGGGACATGCCGTTACACTGATTTTACCAAATGTCACAAGCCAGGATGCTAACAATGGCCAAGCAGGCCAGTTGCAGAGCTGGGGTGTGAGCCTAAGCACCCTGAACCCAGTGCCTGAGCCAGATGCTTCACCTGATTTTGCGTGATGTAGAATGCGGCGGTGAAAAACAGCCATACTCTGGTGGTTGTCCCACTCTGCTGAATGTGGTGAGTCACAAGGGGAAATCCAGCTGAACTGGGTTGAGTTCACACATCACAGGTGTTCCTTCCCCATCCTTCATTCCAGCACTAAATATTACAGAGCCAAGAGTCGAACTTCCCCATACTGGCTGGATTTGCCCCCCAGCCCAACAATAAAAGGTGTTAGCACAGTGTCATTCGGTAGCCCACATCCACAGACCCCTCATGATCTCCATTCCCCTCCACCACCCTGAGTGAGGGTCTGAGCCATTCCTAGCAGCAGTATATGAATGCCAGGTATACTATCTGCACCTTCCCATCACTGATCAGTTACCTACAAGCTGTTCTTCCTCTTCTTTGTTTGCACTTACAGAGGACTACAATAGATGCTGACAAAGTAGTTTGATTATGCATGATGATATTTCATAGAATCAGGAAACTCATTAAATCTTTATGGTTGGAAAAGACCTCCAAGATCATTCAGACCAAACTTCAAATGAATATCACCATACCCAATAATCCTTATTACAAAGTGGTAAATGTTTATATGAAGAGAGCTAGCTGATTCCCAGGTGATGAAGCTATCCAAAGCAAACTAGGGAATAGGCTCGGTGAGGACAGTAAATTAATTAAAATGCTGTTTTATGAGACTGTGGGAATCACACACCTCTGTGAGGTGGAAAGGGTGAAGGTCTACACCCTATATTTTAAACAGAACATATCTCGAAGTAGAGATGAGATGGGGACATGAGCAAAGAGCAAGTGGCTATGAATGGCACTAAAAACAGTTTCCCCTGCACAGCTCCAGGGGAAGAGTGATTTTCAGGCATGCAAAAATAGGTGAGTATTGCAGGGAGATTTGAAGGCCAAGGATATGCTTCTTCAAGAGAAGGAAGCTCAAGGGAAATTTGCTTCGGGGATAGTAGAAGAAAATGCAGAGGCATCCACAGCAGGGTTCTTCAGATGTCCTGAACATACAGGCTGCGTCTCCAAGGCAGGGGATGATGTGAGGCTCTGGAAAGCAAAGGACCTCTGGGATGGATTCAAACATGCATAATGGCAGCAACTTCCCAAAGTGCCAGAACTCCTTTTGAGGTAGGTCTGGGTAGACCTGATAAGGGTTCCCCAGCTCTCGTCCACCAGCTTCCACCTACTGCCAGGGAAATAGCTCTCACTGGAGCTACTCAGCTGGAGCATTTGTAATCCAAAGGCTAGTCTGGGCACCTTTCTGCTTTGGAGATCTTAGGTATAAAATGACAATCTACACTGAATACTCAGCATTGCTTCACACAGGAAAAAAAAATGCTGAAGCACTATTACTGATCAGAATTATTATTCAATCAGAAGGTAACATTTTTCCTTAAGGAAGGTACTCTATTCTATTGTATTTTGTGCAATTTCTGGTTTAATAGTTTCCGACTTAATCAAAGACTTTACACACTGCCGAAGTATCTACAACAGTAATAATAATTACTATATTTCTCATACTTTTTATTCACCTTATTGAGTTCTTCAGTTCACGTTATTATGTGTTGCATTAAGTTTTTTAATTAATATATTTTAAATTATTAGTTTCAAACATGCATAAATGGCTTCTTATCCTTGCATTATGGAGTAATGATTTTGAAAAGTAATAGATTTAGAAAGCTGCCTTGTTTTGCAGCTTAGCACACGCACATCTGAAAGCATCCACTGCACCAGCATGATGAGGAAAAAAGGCCCACTCAAAATACAGCTTCTTTCATTGCATCAGCACACATACTCCAGTATTGCTCCCTAAACCTTCCTTAAGAATTACCAGTAGAACAAGACTAGCCATAGCAGCTTCCCAGACAAACAAACCTAGATAAGCAAAGATATCTGGATAACCAGACAGAATAACAACTCCAGAAAAAAACCCATCCAACCAACCAAAAAAACACAAAAAACAAAAAACCAAAACCACTCCACACCTACAGAGAAAGAAACAAAAAAGAAAGAAACATACATGAAACAAGAACCAGGGCAATAAAGAGCACCACAAGCTAGGGCAGGAGGAACTTGGTAACTTCACCAAAGCAACTGATGCAAATTCTCAGAGAATGAATGCTAAAAGCCTTCATCAGCTCACCAGAGGCAATCCAATTGTGTGAAGGATAAAGCAGGGAAAACATTAAAAGAAAATCAGCAAGAAGAGAAGCAAAACCTTTGCAAGAAGTAGAGAACAGGTCAAAACCACAGGAAACTAATTTCAACAAACTCAAGCATCCCAGCTTACACCTTGTGTTGCAACCAAGGACACAAATGAGGAAATAAAAATTTCCATGAGAAGTAAAAGTAGGGAAAATACTGAAAGTTTGAATTAGTTAATAAAACTCTTGGATTTCTACAGATTAGGAGGCAAACCTCCATAAAAGTATCCACAACACTAGATATAATGGGAAAATGCCACTGGGTGTCTAGAAAATGCCAAGAGAGCCAATCTAACAACTGCAGCAACTTCAGACTCCCCTTTCAGTGACAAGTAAAGCTTTTGTCTATATGATCTTGTACACAGTAAGGGAAATAGTTGGGATGAGGTTAGTCATAGAGTCAACAGATTTCAAACGAGAAAATCATGTGACAGAACAGTCATCAAAGATAGCACTGACAAGTATTACTAGTTCTAACTACTATCATAAAACACAGTAATAGCAAAAGACCATTTGACTTTTTCTCTCATAATTATGTTTGGGATGCCCCATACCGCTACACTGCACTAAAATGAATTGTTAGCACTATTAAGATCCTTCAACCAGAATGCACAGTTAAAGTAAATGAGAAAACAAGTGGGGAAAAGTGATTCAACATAGGTAGGAGTTTCAAACAGAGTATCGGTCATTCACGTTCACCACAAGGCATGGTTGGTGATCTTATTATGAGAGACAGTGCATCAGCTGCAACCCAGACACTCCTTTGGTCCTGGACAATATACTAAATTACCTACATCTTGCTGACAATTAAGTTCTACTAAGGGTCAACTCAGCCAACATGAAGATAAAGACAAAAAGGGGTATCCAGCTTTGAAAAAAAAAAAAAAAAAAGACTCAGTTATTAATCTGTTATTATGAAATCTCAGCAACTTCTAATTCAAGGATCGCTTTAGAGGCAAAACGACACACAAAATGAGTCTATTCACACACCAACGTCATGCAAGGTTCTACAGAAAGCAGTAATGTCATCAGCTGGCAAGCTGGAAACTGCATTCACCAGCATATTTAGACAGTGAATAGTTTTTCATTCACAGATGTCACAAATCTTCAACATGGGTGGTGGATATTTTCATTTGGCTCTGAAATGCAGAGGTCTGTGGAGCAACTGGCACTAGGAGAAGGTTTCTACCTGCCTTATGGACTGTTAGGTTTCACTGGTATTTACTGGCAACAGGGAAATGAGACCTGAGGTATTTTTGGCTTCAAGCCCAAGTCATGGATGAAAGTATTTCCTGTGTGCTTCCTCAGCCATGTCTCTATCCTGACTTCCAGGCAGGCTTGCTGCCACATCCCTGCTCCAGATCTTCCCCTGGCTCTATCAGTTTGTTCCAGATTTTTTTCTCCTTCTTGGCAGTGTTGTGAACAACCACAATAGTGACTCTTAGTAAGACTAGTGGAAAGCCTGTCCCAGATAAAATACCAGTAGCACCTCCTGGTATTCTTGTTTCTGTATACAAACAGTAACCAGATACATTCCATCCACTAACAGAAAATGTCCCAAAATGGAGTAAAGGTAATATTTCTGTGGGAGCGGCTGATGTAAAATATATAGATGCATTACATACAATTAGAAGCCACCACTGGTTTGTTGCCACACACAGAACAACTAGATTTCTCAGCACGAACAGTGTTCATGGTGTTGCAAAATGAAGGAAAGC